CACTTACTGTTCTATAACCTGATTTATCCTAATGCTGCACCAAGAAGTCAGATTTTTCATCTGAAAAAGTTGATCATAAACTCAATTTACTACCCTTGTACTTCTTATTAGTCATGTACATTTTAGATGTTCCAAAAACATGAGAAAGTTGAAATGACAGGACAGTATTTGATCCACGTAGCCCTTTTGGCATCAGTTTGATTTGATAATCTCATGCAGACATTGCTCGAAAGATGACCGGCTGTTGGTTTCCACAAAATGGCTGGATTGCCTGTGCTATTCACCCACAACCCTTGGTGTAAAGAACTTTTAAATACAGGTCCCCATAACATCCTTTCACATTTCCCTTGGGTCGCGTCAAAGTAGTTCACACTGTATTACTGCCACTTAATTTTAGAACTGGTTAACTGAATCAGCAGGAGGTACTTAAGTCCTTAGCATCATTTTAACACTACTGTACCGTCCTGAAGTAAATATTATATTCAAATAAATTATATTCAGCCTCAACAAAAGAGGACGTGGAAGAATATTTGTAAGAGCCCACAGTGGCTCCACACTGCATGGCTACACTCAGTAAAGCAGACGAACCCACCATTCCTTTTCAAGAGTCCAAACCTACCGTACCTGGTGGGAGATGAACAATTTCCTAACAGGGTCTAGAGCAGGATCAGCATCAGAGCCAAATGGTGTCCAGTACAAGGCTCACAGACACTGCGAGAGGCTCGGCCAGAGACTCTGGAAGCTGCTGAAAGGAAGAACTAACTCACAGAAATTTGGCTGATTACAAAGGGGTGTGTGACTCCATGGGGGAAGTGGCTACCACTATGGGCACTAACAGGCATATCCGACACTTTAACAAGGATCGCACACTAGGAAAAGGAAACACACTAGAAAGGGGGAAGGCACACTTTGAAAAGGATTGCACACTAGGAAAAGTGGGTGCACACTAGAACACAATAGAAAAAGGGAGCCCCCACTAGTTAAAGGAGCGAACACTTTAAAAAGGAGCTCACCCTAGGATAATAATTATATTAATAATTGCTTACACTCATATAGTGCTTTTCTGGACACTCCACTCAAAGGCCTTTCCAGGTAATGGGGACTCTCCTCCACCACCACCAGTGTGCAGCCCCCACCTGGATGATAAGGAGTGCACTCTGGAAAAGGAGCGCACACTTGACAAAAGGTACACACACTAGGAAACGGTGTGCACACCAGTAAAAGAAGTGCACACTAGAAAAGGGGAAAGAGTAAAGACACTGGTTAAAAAAGGCACACACTTGAAGAAGGAGCACACAACTGAAAATGGTAATGCACACTACAAAAAAACGCAAATTAGAAAAAAAACTGCACACTAGAAAAGGGAAACAATAGAAAAAGGAGCGCACACTAAAAAGGGAGTAGACTAGAAAACAGAGCGCACAATGAAAAAAGTGTATTTATACTAGATAAAGAGAGCAAACACAAGGGTCAAGACACAGGAAGAAAAGACGAGAAAAAGGAGCGCACGGTAGAAAAATGGAATGCACACTAAAAAAGTAACACACTAGAATAAAGGAGTGCACACTAGATAAATTAGCGCATACAAGAAGAAGGGAACGCGTTCTAGAAACAGGAGCACACACTAGAACAAGGGTAAAGACACTAGGAAAAAAGTGCATACTAGAACAAGGGTAAAGA